TGGGTGGAAGAAACCGTGTGCGCAAAGCCCAAGGTGGGAGGGGGAGGAAGACTCCTGAGTCCAGAGTGGCTGGAACCCACTGGGCAGAAGAGATGGGCTATGTTATGTGGTTGGGGGCAGGGCAGAGCCCAGAGGGTCTGGTGGACCCTGTTTGGGAGCCAGTGAGGGGCCTGAGGGGAGGGGTGGTGAGGGTAGTTGTTTCATCCTGGGCATGAACTCTGAAGGGTCAGGGTGGACACAAGGGTTGCTGGTGTAAGGGCGGTGGCCTTGGGGATGCAGACGGGGGACAGATGCGAGAGTCATATGGAAAGTAAATAACTTGGTATTGGGTTTGCCCCGGGGGAGGTGGCAGCGGGAATCCTACTGTGAGTAGCTCTGTGAGCAAGGAAGTTCTGATTAAGGTGGACTTGAGGGGCCTGGAGCAGGTGGAGAGGTTCTTCCCTGGCTAGGAATGGGTTGCAGCGTCCCTGGTGGAGAGACGAGGGAAAGACAGTCTCTGCGGATGAACCCAAGAAACAAAACGTGTGTGCTTGCTTGGTGGGCATGCTGTGAAATGAAACTAACATTTGCTGGATACTGGTGGTTGGCCTGGTCCTATTCCAAAGGCTTTACCTTCACCACCTCATTTAATCCCAACTCCTGCCCTACAAGATTAGAGCTTTTCTCACTCCCATTTTATAGATGAGAACACTGAGGCGCAAAGCGGCTCTGCCTCCATCCAGGCTGACTCCAGAGCTGCCTTGGGGCCATGGTGTCCAACTGCTCTTGTAGTTTGGGGTGACCAGAGCCTGGAAGAGTTAGAGAGGCAAGAGGGATGAGACTGAGGCTGGAGAGATGGGCTGGGACCAAACCCCGAAGGGCTGCCTGTGTTCAGCTGGGGGATCTGGACTTTATTTAGTAGAATAGGTAGCATGTTCTTAGAGTGAGGATGTTGACATCAGATGTGCTTTTTTGAGAGTCACTCTAGGACCACAGGGGGAGAAAAGCCAGAGGGGATCGGGAGACAGGTAGAGGAGAGGCCACTGGAAAAGCGGAGGGCAGGAGCTCTAAGGCTTGGGCGGGGGATCCCCAGCCAGACAGTTCCAGGTTCCATTCAACAGGGTGGCTGGCAGGCGGGATGTGAGGGGAGAGCAGTCAAACTCAAGGGACTGAATGATGCTGATTATTTCATTCATGCAGAGATCACACTTCTGTTGAGCACCTACTAAGTGCCCGGTCCTGAGCAAAGTGCTGAGAACACGGGTGGGATTGCTGGTCTGAAGAAGCCAAGGAGAGGTGGGAAATGACGAAAGAGGAGAAGGAAGGGGAGGCGATGATGAGTTTGGCTGGGGGTGCTCTGCATGAGAGGGACCGGGGGTAGCCATGTGGCAATGTCCAATCGGGCTCTGGAGAGAGAGTTCAGGACTCTGGAGAGAGGTCGAGTTTGAGATACACGGCTTGGAAAATCAAATCTTGAGCTCTGCCTTGTATCCCTCCCTCGGAAGAGAAGACGTCATGTGGTTTATTGCCAGCTTTTTGTTTACTTCTGTGGCTTGTACTCAAAGATTTAATAACAAAATCAAAGTTTGTGGGGGGGGTGGGGAAACAGTTCATAAAAATTATCAAATTGAACACATAAAATGGTTGTATTTTTATGATATATAAATTAGAGCTCAATAAAGTTTAAACATATAGTTATGGTTGGGGGGGAAGTCTCAAATTTTTTAGGAAGTCAGGAAACCTGGATGGGAAGGACATTCCACACAGAGGGCAGGAGTGAAGTCTGGTGCAGCTGGACCTAAGTAACGCAGTGTGGCTGAATCTGGGCCACTTGGGAGGGAAGGGGAGCTGGCGCCTCTCTGAAGCCAGCTGTACTAATCACATCACTGAGCACTGACCCCCTGCAGGTGCTGCAGAAGTCTTTCATCCTGGATGGAATCAATCCTAGATGGAATCAACCAATCATCCTAGATGGAATCAAACAACCCCCAAAGGAAAGATGCCATCAACATTCTACAGATGGGGAAACTGAGGTTCAGAGAGGTTAAGCCAATTACCCTAAGTCACACTGCCTTGATTAAAGGGGTAGAATCAGTCCTTTGGCCACTTGATGCGAAGAACTGACTCATTGGAAAAGACCCTGATGCCGGGAAAGATTGAGGGCGGGAGGAGAAGGGGTCGACAGAGGATGAGATAGTTGGATGGCATCACGGACTCGATGGACATGCGTTTGAGTAAGCGGGAGTTGGTGATGGACAGGGAGGCCTGGCGTGCTGCAGTCCATGGGGTCGCAAAGAGTCGGACCCGACTGAGCGACTGAACTGAACTGAGCTGAATCAGTCCAGTCTGGATCTGTCAGCTCCAAAGTCTGACTCTTAATGAGCACTCTAGATCCAGTTTTGCCCGCTTCAACAAACGTCATCAAAGCAGAAGCAGGCCGCCGTGCCTTGCGGCTGGGACCCAGAGCCCGGTTGAAGGGAGTGGAGGGGCCGAGGCGAGCGCTACGATGGCCCCACCTACTGGCCAAACGTGGAACTTGAGTGGCCCCTTCCAGCACAATTCTCTTTTTCTGCCCCTCTTTCTCAGCAGTTTCCTCCCAACCGTCCTGGGAGGCTAGTGGGCAGGGATTGCTGGCTGGCTCCAGTTAACCATGAGGAGCCCAGAGCTCAGAGAGGGGAAGTGAGTTCTCCAAGATGTCGCAGAGAAGTAGAGGAGGACCCCAGATTCAAATCCGTGTCCGTGAGATGCCCTTCACATCCCAGCTGCCCTTCCCTCCACCCCCGTGTGGACTTCGCGCCCAGAGTGTCCCCGGAGGGCGTCTAGACCAATCCCCCCTCTTTCTGGTTCACAGATGGGAATCTAGTCAGGTAGTGACCCGGCCTGCCCAGGTTTGTCTCTGCGGGACGACGCCTTGCAGAGGTGACCCCAGGGTCTGCGTGCGGTTTTCTAGGCAGAAGCCCCTCCACCTTGGGAAATGGCTGTCCCTTCCTCCTTCCCCAACCCCTCAGGTCTTCTGGTCTCAGGTTCAAGCGGGAGGAAAGGGAAAAAAAGAAGGGAGGGTGGGTAGAAGGTGGCCCGGGGAGGGCAGTGAGCTAGGAGGGAGGCAGAGACAGGGGCCCTACAGAAGGCAGAAGGGAGGCGTCAGAGCCAGGCCAGGGTGAGGGGTGAAGACAGCGAGGGCCCTAAGCTGAGCTACCACTGTTGAGGGACAGACGGGAGGTAGGTGCTTTGGGGAGGCATCACCCTTAACCCTCTCGATGACCCTGAGAGGTGGGAAGGATGACTTACCCCTCATTTACACCGAGGAGCGGCAGTATCAGGGGGCTGGAGTGATGCGCCCTGCCCGAGGTCATGCACAAGTGAGTCTGACGCGGGAGTCTGAACACAGGAAGCGTGGCTCCAGGAGAAACGGACTGATGGAAAGCAGATGGGCTATCCAGACGTCAGGCTGGGAGCAGGGGGCAGACGGTCCTGCTGCTGGGGGCGGGGGGTGTCTTGTTGCCCTGTGTCTGAATGTGTGACGGGGAGGAAGAGTGGCTGAGTCGGCTGTCACACCTTGCTGGAGCATGTGTTGTCTGGCTGTGGCTGAACAAGGTGGGTTTGTGAGGGGCCTGAAAGTCCGCTTCCCTGGGCCGACTCCTCGTCACCCTTCCCAGCTCAGCTTAAAAGTCGCCTCCTCAGGCTTCCCTGGTGGCCCAGGGGTTAAGAATCCACCTGCTGATGCAGGGGACATGGGTTCGATCCCTGGTCCAGGAAGATCCCGCGTGCCACAGGGGAGCTAAGCACGTGCACCACAACTGCCGAGCCAGTGCTCTAGAGCCTGAGTGCTGCAAATACTGAGGCCCACGCACCCCAGAGCCCAGCTCTGCAACAAGAAAAGCCTCCACAATGAGAAGCCCGTGCACCACAACTAGAGAGGAACCCCTTCTCGCTGAAACTAGAGAAAGCCTGTGCGCAGCAATGAAGACCAAGCACAGACAAAATAAATAAAGAATGTTTTTAATTTTTTAAGAAAAGTCACCTCCTCTGGGAAGCCCTCCCGCATTGCTAAAATGGCATCAGATCCCCGTGTTATACACTTGCAATATTTCTCCTGTTGAGCACTCATACTGTGTGTTAGTGGTTCAGTTCAGTCGCTCAGTCGTGTCCTACTCTTTGCAACCTCATGGACTGCAGCATGCCAGGCTTCCCTGTCCATCACCAACTCCTGGAGTTTGTTCAAACTCATGTCCGTTGAGTCAGTGATGCCATCCAACCATCATCTCGTCTTCTGTCGTCCCCTTCTCCTGCCTTCAACCTTTCCCAGCATCAGAGTCTTTTCAAATGAGTCAGTTCTTCGCATCAGGTGGCCAAAGTATTGGAGTTTCAGCGTCAGCATCAGTCCTTCCAATCAACACCCAGGACTGATTTCCTTTAGGATGGACTGATCTGATCTCCTTGGTGTCCAAGGGACTCTCAAGAGTTTTCTCCAGCACCTCAGTTCAAAAGCATCAATTCTTCGGCACCTAGCTTTCTTTATAGTCCAACTCTCACATCCATACATGACTACTGGAAAAACCATAGCTTTAGACTAGATGGACCTTTGTTGGCAAAGTAATAAGTAATAAGTAGTAAGTCTCTGCTTTTTAATATGCTGTCTAGGTTGGTCATAACTCTTATATTTAACTCTTTATATTTAAATCAGCAAATACAAATCTGCCTCTGACTCAGTGGGGATTGGAAATGGGCAGGTAACAAAACTCTAGATAAAACTAGACATGTGGGATGGATGGCAGAGAGACCCACTGGCCTTGAACCCTCAGTGTCTCCTGAGCTCCAGGCTATGGGTTTTACTGAGAGAATGGATGGTGGTGGTTAATCCTCGAGTGGGTTCACTGGAGTTTTATCAAGCCAGCTTCAACGGGGCCTGCTTCATATCCATCTTTCCACCCTCTTCTCCAGCCGGTGAGGGCCAAGGTAATGGTCTTGACTCCTGCTGTTTCCCCAGCATTTTACACAAAACCTCACATGTGGTCCTGGCATCAGGTAAACACTTGCTGAAAAAGTGAGTGAATGAATGAAGTTGGTGGGTTTGGGCACAGGCTGGGGAGGCCAGGTGTGTTGTGAGGGTGTGCGGCAAGGAGACCCAGGCCGCACTGGCACCACGGGGTAGCTGGGAGCCCCCAGGACACATAGTCCCCTCTGCAAAGGCCTCTCCTGGAGGAGCACATGGTGGGGCGCATCTGGGGGCCCTGAAACAGCGCCTCTGCGCTAGGCTGGCTTCCCTGAAAGGCTGCTGGGAAGGAAAGCCTGGAGAAGACAAGAAGCGGGTCCCCCTTCTCACCACCCCCCACCCCAGATGGCTGGGCCCCTCTTTGCCCACCCCCTTCCTGGGGAAACTGAGGAGGTTCAGCTGTCCATCCTGGGGCCATGGGCCAGGCTACCCCACCAGCACCTGGCCAGGTGCTGTTCTTGAGACTGTCAGCTGCAACATCCCTGGGAACAGTGGCAATAGAAACAGACGACTCCCCCCAGCCCCCACTCCCATACCTGATCTGGAAGGAATGCTTAGGGAAAAGATGACCGCGGGGAGAAGGCAGTGGATGAATTCACAAGATGAATACCTAATCTTTAGCGCACTTCCTGTGTGCCAGCTGTATGCTTCACACTTCACCGGCGTTAATCCCTTAATCCTCACGCAAGGCTGTGTCTGTTTTGTCATAAAGAAGAGGTGTCTCGGGCACAGCAGGGCACACGCTGGTATAAGGGGTGGAGCTGGGATTTGAACCCACCTACTTGTATTATCTGCTCAGCAGCCTCTTTCCCTTTGCTGTGTCATGAGGGAGGATCAGCATCTTAGACTCGCTGCAGTTGGTTCAGCTCAGCATTTTCTGATCACTCACAGGTGCCAGGCCCTGTGCTGCGATGGAATGGGAGGCCACAGAGACTTCCCTGGTGGTCCAGAGGCTAAGACTCCACGCTCCCAGTACAGGGGGCTCCAGGTTCGATCCCCGGTCAGGGAACTAGATCCCACATGCCATGACTTTGCCTGCCAGGACTGAAGATCACGCACGCTGCAAGTAAGACCTGGTGCAGACAAATAAGTAAATATTAAAAAAGAAAAGGAGGCTACAGAGAGCTCTCAGTCTGTCTCTCTGTCTCTCAGTGAGACAGACACATGAAAATCCACACTAGCAAGTGGTGGGTTCCACGACAGTGCTTCTACAAGGCACAGAGGAGGGAAAGATACACCTGAGGATAGATTCGACTGAAAGCTGGATGGCTGGCTCAAAGAGAATGAATGTAAGCTGAACAGGGTCTTGAAGGATGAATAGGAGTTTGCTAGGCCAAGAAGGAGAAAGAACACTCCAGAGAGAGAGAAGAGTATGTGCAAAGGCAAGGGGCATGAAACCCCATGGGAGGCTCAGAGCAGAAAGTAGGCAGTAAAACTGGACATAAAGAGGGGGAGGGGGTGGTGTGAGCATGTTCACAGGAATCAGGATTCTTGACTTTGCAGCTCATGGCAGTCCTTACCGGGCAAGGCTGAAAAACCAGCTGTGTGGACTTGGGCAGGCTCCTATAGTTCTCTGAGCCTCTACTTCATTTTCTATAAATTGGGATACAAAAAAAATTCCTCATAGGACTGTGTGTGTGTGTGCGTGCACGCGCATACGCACACATGCTCTGTTGCTCAGTCGTGCCCGACTCTTTGCAACCCCATGGACTGTAGCCCACCAGACTCTTCTGTCCGTGGGACCTCCCAGGGAAGAATACTGAAGTGGGTTGCCATTTTCCGACCCAGGGATTGAACCCGCACCTCCTGGGTGTCCTGCACTGGCAGGCGGATCCTTCACCACTGAACCACCTGGGAAGTTCCCCATAGGATTGTAGTGAGAGTGAAATGAAGTAAATATCTGTTAGGTGCCTGAAACAAAGTGGTCAATAAATGTGAGTAGTTGTTATTACTACAGTGAGTACGTGTAAAACACAAACTTAAAAAAAAAAAAAAAAGCAACAAGCAAATCTTAGAGATGGAATCCGAGAAGAGAGGAAGGAACTCAGTGGATCAGACATAATGAATAAACAAAGCTAAATTATTTACAGAGTTTTCCTCCCCCAAACTTCAAGGCAAAGTTCACAGTTTTGTGTTAAACTCCCAGGAGCATCCCAAACCAGGGAACATGGGAAGAAAGCCAGTGTCTCCAATAACCCTGGAGTTTTGTTTCAAAGTGTTTATAGAGTTATGTGTCAATATGTGCAACTTATCTTTTTAACTTTTTCTTAAGTATAATAAACACACACAAGAGAACACAAATCCTAAGCGTACAGCTCAATGCATAGACGCAAAATAAACATACCAGCATAGCCTAAGCCCAGAAGAAGAAACAAACATGATAAGCATGACCAGCACCCCACCCTAGAGTCTTCTCTTTCCCACCCCTCCCAGTCACTGCTTCTCCCACAGGTAGTTACTACTGGGTAATTATTTAGTTATCCACGTGGAAAGCACCAGTATCCCCTATGTATTATTTTCCTGTCTTAAGGAAGTACCACAAACTTGGCGCTTTAAAACAACAGAAGTTTATTCTCTCGTAGTTCTGGAGGTCAGAAGTCCAAAATCAAAGTGTTGGCAGAGTCAGTTCCCATTCCATGCCCCTCTCCTGGCTTCTGGTGACTTCTGGCAGAATCTTTGGTGTCCCTGGGAAGGTGACTGCTATCCAGTCTCTGTTGCTTCCACAAGACCTTCTTCTCTGTGCCCTTCTGAGTTCTGTTTTGCTTTACAAGAACATTCTTATTGGGTTTAGGCACCACCCCCCAATCCAGTCTGGGGCTTCCCTGGTAGCTCAGCTGGTAAAGAATCTGCCTGCAATGAAGGAGATCCTGGTTTGATTCCTGGGTCAGAAAGTTCCCCTGGAGAAGGGATAGGCTACCCACTCCAGTATTCTTGCCTGGAGAATCCCATGAACAGAGGAGCCTGGTGGGCTATAGTCCATGGGGTTGCAGAGAGTCGGACACAACTGAGCCACTAAAAACAGCACAGCACACAGCAATCCAGTGTGATCTCATCTCCATCCTTATTTTAATTATACCTGCAAAGACCCAAATAAGGTCACATTCTGAGGTTTCTGGTGGGCATGAATTTAGGGGCAGATGCTAGTCAGCCCTCTACACCCTACAAGCCTGCAAGCCCCAGCCAGGCCAGGGATGTCACTCGTGTTCCCCAGAACCTAGCCCAGGGCCTGGCATCTAAGAGCTGCTCACGAAATGCTGGCTGAATAGATGAATAAACAATACATCGTCACATCAGGGGCACCAGCACTGCACGCCCGACACGTGGTGGGTGGTCAGTAATTGATCGATGAGCAAAGGAGATCTGAACATGGGTTGGGAATGAGCACAGAGGGTAGAAATGACAATAGGTGCTATTCACTGGGCTCTTAGCGCTCCCAGGTTCCTGTGCCTGGCTCTGCTTCATCTCATTTCACGAATAAGGAGAGAGACCGCATGTCCCCGTTACATGGGACGGTCCCAGTCTGCGGTATTGTCCCAGCACCACGAGTGTTTCTTTCTCACTCTCCTCTGATGCCACAGATAAGGCCACTGAGGCTCTCAAAGGTCTCAAAGGTCTCAAAGGTCTGAGGGATTAAATCTAGTACCTGATTTGCACACTCACAGGCTCTGAAGCCCTTGCTCTCAACTGCTAGTGGCGGTGGGGTGTGGATTCGGAGGAGCTTCCCAGGTGGCTCAGGGGTGAGGAATCCGCCCACCAATGCAAGAGATGCAAAAGCCGTGAGTTTGATTTCTAGGTCGGGAAGATCCCCTAGAGTAGGAAACAGCAACCCACTCCAGTATTCTTGCCTGGAAAATTCCAAGGACAGAGGAGCCTAGCGGGCTACAGTTCCTGAGGTCACAAAGAGTCAGACACAACTCAGCGACGAAATACACACACTCCAGCTTGTGGATTAGGAGAGGTTGCTTGGCAGAGATAAACTGATGTCATCCAGTTATCTCAAAAGAGAGGTCACAGGGTGAACAGGTGTCCTCCTGGGACTGCAGGGCCAGCTCCTGCCCTGTTCCCGTTCAGCGATCGTGGGGAGAAGAGGTGCCTGGTGAGAAAGAAGGGAGAGCCTGGAGGATCCTTTGGAGGACACAGACAAGACCTCCCAGATGGAGGACGGAAAGAGAGGCTTCCCCCTAGCCAGGCAACCCCGCAGGAGAAAGTTCTTTACAGGAGAAAGCCCCCCACCCCCCTACCCCCACCCAGAGAACACTGCTCATCTCTCCCTACTGCCTAGGAAAAGCAAGCCTGCAGAAAAGACTGGAAAGCTTGTGAACATTGGTAGGAGGTGAAATCTCCATCTTTCTCCCCAAACTCCTCCTCCTCCAGACTCCCCATCTTGGTCCACGAACCCCACCCATGCAGACAGGCTACCTCATTGGCAGGGCCCAATGCAAAATGAAAATGCAGAGCCTCTTGTTTAAAAAGTTGTTAATACCCTCAGGACTGTGGCATCAGGCATTGAACCAGCCCCGGGCCCTTGTGAATATGGACTGTGCCCATCACAAGACAATGAAGTTGACCCTGCAGCCACCCACCACCCGGGCTGGAAACCAACCATCCTTGGTCTCACCCCTCCCAACCCCCACCCCGATAGATTCAAGTTCACCAAAAGGCTGCCCTTCTTATCCCAAGTGCCATCCCTCTGATCCAAGCAGCACTTTTCACCTGTGGGCAAGAGCACCCATTCAAACAGCTTCAAGTCTCCCCTGCTGCGGACCCATCCTCCCCTCTGTAGCCACAGACAGCTCCCTGAAGGCCAGTCTGACCCTAATACCTCCCTGGATCTCACCTTCAACGCTGCCTGTGGTGAACTGAGTTGGTGGCACCGTGGTAGAGAATCTGCCTGCCAATGCGGGTTCGATCTCTAGGTTGGGAAGATCCCCTGGAGGAGGAACTGGCAACCCGCTCCCGTATTGTTTCCTGGGAAATCCCATGGACAGAGGAGCCTGGTGGGCTACAGTGCATGGGGTCACAAAGAGTTGGACATGATTGAACACACACATAGATACACGTGAGCTGGATTTTGAGCCCTCTCTGCCCTTCCCAATTTCATGTGTTAAAGCTTTAACCCCCCAACATGACTGTATTTGAAAATAGGACCTTTAGGAGGTAACACAGATTCAATGAGGTCATAAGGGTGAGTTCCCTGATCCAACAGAGACACGGGAGACGTTGCCTCCGCCCCCTCCCCAGCGCAAGCATAGAGAAAAGGCCACGTGAAGACCAGGGAGACACTGGCGGTCCCCAGTCCAGGGAGAGAGCCTCACCTGACACTGATCAGTGCCACCTTGATCTTGGACTTGGGCCTCCAAAGCTGGAAGCAAACCAATTTCTACTGTTTAAGTTAATGAGTCTGGTGTGTCTTGTTACGGCATTCTGAGCTGATACAGCTCCCCTCTGTCTGAGCTCTGGTCATGGTGTCCGTGGCCTTGCATGGGCAGGACACCCTTCTCTGGGTCATCTTCTTCTCCTTTTGAATATTTATGTTTATCTGTTTGGCCACACCTGAGTCTTGGTTTCAGCACTCAGGATATTGGATCTTCATTGTGGCATACGGAATCTCAAGTTTCAGAGTGTGGGATCTAGTTCCCCAACCAGGGATCGAACCACAGCCCCCTGCATGGGGAGCATGGCGTCTTAGCCACTGGACCACCAGGGAAGTCTCCAGACCACCTTCCTTCCTGTCTCTGGGACTCCACAAGCTCTCTCTCCTCTGGGTCTTCCAACAGGCTCCTTCTCTAATGGAAACGGCCTTCTCCGCTGGAAATGGCCTTCTCCACCGCTGCGTCTGGCCAACCCCTTTCAGCTCTACTTTCAGTCCAGCTTAGAAGTGAATTATCTCTGACCTCCCCCACCCGTGAGCAGCAGAGGAGGACCCCTCCTCCCTGCCCCTACAACCCCTTCCACGCTCCCCCTCTTACCAGTAAGACTCGTCACTCATGTCACTGCACACTTTGGGCCTCTCCTGCCTGCCATCATAGTTGAAGACCTCCGTAAGTACAGAACTTATTCCGCTTAGCCCTCTGTCCAAAGCCTCTGCTAGTCTCTCGTCCTTCATGGCTACGCAGAAAGTCTGAGGCCACAGAAGAGGGTTTGCAGGAGCAGGGCTGAGCTTGTAAGGAGAGAATTTGGTTAACCTTTCACTCCCAGGGAGAGTTTCAATTAGAGACACTTGGAATTTACTTACTGACTTACTTACTCACACAGTCAACAAACATTCATTGCTCTCCCAGTTAGGGCTGGGCCCTGGGCCAGGAGCTGGGATGCTGCGGGAAGTCACCTGGGTCCCCACCAGGAGAACCACAGACCTGAGTCATTCTGTTGTATTGAAAGGGGATCTTCTGGGTAAGTAGCGGGAGAGGACTCAGAGGTCAGACAGCTGAGATATAAATGCAGGCTTTGTTCCTCATTGGCTGGTGAGGGTGGGTAACCCATTCATACCCCGCACCCCGTCTTTTAGATCTTGAAAGTGGTCCTGACACCCAACTGTGTGGATTAGTGATTCTCAGACTCTTTGGTCTTGGAAGCATTGTCAAGGAACCTACAGACCTTTGGTTTATGTGGATTATTTCTTTTTAGTATCTGCCATCCTGAAAATGGGACTTCCCTGGTGGCTCAGTGGTAAAGAATCTGCCTGCCAAGCAGGAGATTCGGTTTCGATCTCTGGGCTGGGAAAATCCCTTGGAGAAAGAAATGGCAACCCACCCCAGTATTCTTGCCTGGGAAATTCCAAGTACAGAGGAGCCTGGCAGGCTACAGTCTACAGGATTGCAAAAGAGTCAGACATGACTTAGTGACTAAACAACAACAATAATATTGAAAATTAAAATTGAGAAAGGCTTAAAACCCGGGAATACCCAAACATGCATGCCATCTCCCATCAGATCAATGGCACAGTCAGGCCACCAGACCTGTGCTCAGGTAGAACAAGAACCAAACCCCCAGCTCCCAAGTCCAGTTTTATGAGAAGCAGAGACAAACCTTTAAAAAAAAATTAGTTTTTAAAACTGGCACTACAGATGGGCAACATGGCAGAACCAGTTGGCAAACTATGAAAATATTTCACCTCCGTTTTATCAATCGCAGCTATCCCAAGCCCCATGGATGCCTCAAGCACCCTAGCAGCCTCAGCCCAACCCAGAGACCCTCCCACTATTGTAAATAATTCTAGAAAGAATACCCCTGTGATTATATTTCCTTTTGATAAGCTTCTAGAATTGAATCACTGAGTCAAAAGGATGCATACCCTAGGGCTTCAGAGGCATATTCTCAAAACACAGGATATTTTGTCGGTTGAAATTCCCACCAAGAAAGCATGGCAGCGCCCGTCTCCCCACATCTTTCTCCAGCGATGATCTTTACAGTTTTTCTAGTGCTTGAAAACCCAGAAAGTAAAAATGGTATGTTGCTTTAGTTTGCATTTCTTTGATTCTTAGAAATGTTGACTATCCTTTCTTGGTTTCTTGGCCATTGACAGAGCCTGTTTTTAATTGATTTAAGAGAAATATTTGTATTTAAAGGAGATGCAGGGAGTTCCTTTGTGGTCCAGTGGTTAGGACTCACTCACAGGGCCCAGATTCAATCCCTGGTCATGGAACTAAGAACCTGCATGCCTCACACTGTGGCCAAAAAAAAAAAAAAAATGATGCAACTGCAGAGTAAATGCTTGATTCCAACCTGATTTGAGTATTGCCTGTTCCTCTCCTACTCACTCTAACCTCCTCCATGGAGCTAGGGGAGCAATCATTTTTGCCCAACCCAGGAAGGCTTTATATAAGAGAAATCTTGAGAAGATGGAAAAGAAGAGATACTGAGAGATGCCAAGTGCTTTTTATTTTGGAAGAATTTCCTCTCCAATCTATCCCTCCCTGCTTCAAACTGGAAAGACTGCGATGTTCTCTTGTAACCAGAATAACTGAGTCATGAAAGGGTGTGATCTTTCCGGCTTGCTACACCCCCTGGGCCAAATGGTTCCCCACCCAGGAGATCACCTCACTCTTGAGTTGTGCTGACCCAGGTAAGACCCAGCTTCTTGTCATCTCAGCGAAGCCCTGACTCACTGTGTCTCTGCTCCTCCCCAGCTGTGTGTCCTTGCAGGAGTCTCTTAACCTCTCTGTGCCTCAATGCCCTCTGAAATGGGGAAAACATGACCCACTTCTCAAGGGTAGTGGTGAGGATTAGAGGAGGTAAAGTGTGTGTATAAGGCATTGGACACAATACTTGGCACAGTATAGCTGCTCAAGAAGCATCTGTCAAATTAATAACTGATGATTGCTTTCCTTTCAGTTTGTTCTTATGGGGTGTTTGGTTTTCTCTCGCTCTCTCTCTTTTTTTTTGCAACACCACAAGGCATGTGGGATCTTAGTTCCCTAAGCAGGGTTGGACTGGGGGCTTCCCTGATAGCTCAGTTGGTAAAGGATCCGCCTACAATTCAGGAGACCCTGGTTAGATTCCTGGGTCAGGAAGATTCCCCCAGAGAAATGATAGGCTACCCACTCCAGTATTCTTGGGCTTTCCTGGTGCCTCAGATGATAAAGAATCCGCCTGCAATGTGGGAGACCTGGATTCAATCCCTGGGTTAGGAAGATCCCCTGGAGGAGGGCATGGCAACCTTCTCCAATATTTTTGCCTGGAGAGTCCCATGAACAAAGGAGTCTGGTGGGCTACAGCCCATGGGGTTGCAGCAGGTCAGACACGACTGAGTGACTCAGCACCGCACAGCCAGGGATTGACTTGCGCCCCCTGCAGTTCCAGGTGCGGAGTCTTAACCGCTGGACCACCAGGGAAGGCCAAGCTTTCTGTTTTTATCTACTGAAAACATAGTCAGCTTTTCTGAAAAGTAATAAACCAAACCTCTGCGCTTCAACCTACAACGGTTAGAAAACTTTGGTGACAAGGAACAGAAATTAACTGGAGCTTAATAGAAAAAGAGAAAAGAGAATCTATTATAAAGACTCAGGGGTGTCTCATGGATCCCAAGAGCTTGAAATGGAGATTCTTTCCTCTGCTTCTCCCTGTGGGCCTGCCGTATGGCCTCCTCTGTTTCTCTCCCTCCTTCCCCTGAGATTGGCTTTCTCTGCCACCATGGCCACCAACTGCTTCTCCCTGTTAGAGTCTCCCGCAGATTCACTCACTGAGCCTAAATTCCAAAACCAGGTGCAGACTCCAATCTCAGATCCCATTCAGATGTTCTCCCTTGAGAAATACAGTGATTCACTGCTGGAGGGCAAATGAGTTCATCAAAGCTGCTTTGTACAGGCCGGGGAAGACTGGGCCAGCTGTGGAGTGCAAGCTCTCCGAAAGATTGGGCGGAGGTGACTAGAGACTGAATTCGGAGCTTGCAGAATTGACCCCAGAAGGTCAGTGCTTGGAAGAGATTCCTGTATTATCTAGTCCAATCCCTAGTCATATTAAAAAACATTTTTTTTTAAATAAAGAAGGAAAGAGGTCCAGAGGTATGTGTTTGTCGACCCAGCCAGCCAATGACAGAACTGGAATCAGAACTCAGGTCTGCTGACACCATGGATCAAGTTCAAGGTCAAGGTCAAGTTCTCAGTGAGGGAGGCTCCATCACAGTCCCCACTCTCTGCGGGTGCAAGCTGAGGCAGAGTGGCATACCCGAGGTCCCCCTGCTGGACAGTGCCACATCTGAGCTTATGTCCAGTGCTTCCCATCGACCCCTGCAGAAGAGGGAAGGTGGGAGGGAACCAGAGAAGAAGACGGAAAAGGGGGGAGGGCAGGGGAAGGGTGGGGGAGGGGAACTGAAAGAGGGAAGAGAAGAGAGTGCCTCACTCTGGACAGGATCACCCTGACGGAGCTTGTCCCCCAGGAGGGCTAGGCTTCTCTGTGCTGGTTGTGGCTGTGAGTCTGTCACCAGTACTGCCTCTCTCCATGACCAGTTCTTTCTCGCCATGACCTTGACCTCGACCTTTCTTTTTTCTCGGTGAGCCTGATGGATATCAACCCCAGTTCACTTCCGTCGCTCAGTCGTGTCCAATTCTTTGCCGCCCCGTGGACTGCAGCACGCCAGGCTTCCCTGTCCATCATCAACTCCCGGAGCTTGCTCGAACTCATGTCCATTGAGTCGGTGATGCCATCCAACCATCTCATCCTCTGTCGTCCCCTTCTCCTCCCGCCTTCAATCTTTCCCAGCATCAGGGTCTTTTCCAATGAGTCAGCTCTTCACATCAGGTGGCCAAAGTGTTGGAGCTTCAGCTTCAGCATCAGTCCTTCCAATGAATATTCAGGACTGATCTCCTTTAGGATGGACTGGTGGATCTCCTTGCAGTCCAAGGGACTCTCAGGAGTCTCCTCCACCCCCAGGTGAGGCCTTTCCTTCCCCTCCCGCCTCCTCCTTCACATGTCCATCTCCCCCACCTGGTTGAAGGCTCCGATGGGGAATAAAAGGTCCAAAGTAGAAAACCCAAACAGAGGCCAAAACCTGGGACCCACAGGCCAAACTCAATGCTCATATGGTCTGAGTTTGGCCCAAATAATGATTTTATGAAAGTTTAAGCACCTTGAAGAACCAGCTGTAACACCTAGAGTAGACACTGTACATGGTCTTGTGACATTTTATTCTTCTTTCATCCTGTTCTTGAAGTTGTCTTCACAGTTAGAGAGTATTTTCCTACGCTTCAACTTCCATCAAACATAAGAAAACAGAAGCCAATGAGGGATAGATGTTTCAAGAAGAAAAATGGAAGTATCTTTGTGAACTAGAGCTCATTTCTATGTATTTTATTTATTTATTTATTTTTGGCTGTGCTGGGCTTTCTTTGCTGCACGTGGACTTTCTCTAGTTGCAAGGAGCAGGGCCTACTCTTCATTGCAGCAGATATGAAACATAAACTGCAAATCCTTTTGGCTTCCCTGATAGCTCAGTTGGTAAAAAATCCGCCTGCAATGCAGGAAACCCCAGTTCGATTCCTGGGTCAGGAAGATCCTCTGGAGAAGGGATAGGCTACCCACTCCAGTATTCTTGGGCTTCCTTTGTGGCTCAGACAGTAAAGAATCTGCCTGCAATGCAGGAGACCTGGGTTTGATCCCTGGGTTGGTAAGATCCCCTGAAGAAGGGAAAGGCTATCCATTCCAGTATTCTGACCTGGAGAACTCATAGTCCAGGGGTTGCAAAGAGTTGGAGATGACTGAGTGACTTTCACTTTCACTACAGATAAACTAGTTTTCATGCAGTTCTTTCTAGATATTCACAGCGGCACTCAAACTAAACATACTATTCTATAACACTTCTTACTTTAAAAATGTCCTTGCAGGAACTTCCCTGGTGGTGTGGAGGATAAGAATCTGTCTACCAATGCAGGGAACTTGGATTCGATCCCTGGTCCAGGAAGATATCACATGCTTCAGAGCAACTAAACCTGAACATTGAAACTGCTAAGGCCCATGTGCCTAGAGGCTATGGAATATGACAAGAATAGCCAGGAGAGAACAGCTCCCTGCTTGCTGCCAGTAGAGAAAGCCCCTGCAAAGCAACGAAGACCCAGCACAGCCAAAGCTAACTAAATAAAATGTCCTTGCCATTTACATATGTTTAAGAGCTAATGAGTGCTCTATATTGAATCTCAATTTCAGTAGCTAATGAGTATTTTGTATTGAATCTCAAAGTGCTGTAGTTTGTTTAGTCATATCCATTATGAAATGAAAATGGTGATGAATGATTGAAGAAATGACTATGTGATAGATACCAGATTAAGCTCTTTACACACGCAGAACCCCATGAAGAAGGCACTTTACTCCCATATGAAATAAGAAAACTAGGACACAGTTTAGAGTTTAGGGTAGCCCAAGGCCACAATCTTCTAGGAATATGCTTTCTAACTTTATTAAAAATTTCTGTAAGCATTTTGGTAAATAAATTTTTGCATGTGTCCTCAATAACTTGATTAGAATAAGTTCTTAATGAAACAGAGTGGGTAGGCATCATTTTGGGGTCTTCTGACATATCCTGCCCAATGGTCCTTGAGAAAGATTAGAACTGCCATTGGCAACGTGTTCCTTTCGATGGTATTTCAACTTTTGCGCACCAGGAACTGTCCTTGGTGCTGAGGGTACTGCAGTAAAGAAAAAGAAGCTGTACTTATGGCATTCGCAGTCTTGGGGACCTGTGTGTGTGCACGCGCGAGTGTGTGGTGGAGGTAAGTGATAATATCGTGGGTGATGACAAGTGCTAGAAAAATCTAAAAAGTGAGGGGACAAGGTATGAGTGCAACAGTGGCCAAGAAAGAGTCATCTAAAATGATAAATCTGAAGCTCTTGATGCCTGAGTCCCCACACAATTTGGTTAGTGAGATAAGAGTTTCATGCTTATGTCCTACTGAGGCACCTACTATGTTCTAGATGTTAAAAGAACAAAGCACAAAGCATGCAGTCAGTGGGCTAGATGGAATCCACCTGCCAATGCAAGAGATGCAAGATGCTGTGGGTTCGATCACTGGGGCAGGAAGATCCCGTAAAGTAGGAACTGGGAACCCACTTCAGTATTCTTGCCTGGAAAATTCCATGGACAGAGGAGCCTGGTGGGCTATAGTCCATGGGATCACAAAGAGTAGGACATGACTGAGCAACAACAATGAGTGGACTAGATTAGTAGATTTGGAATTTAGACTCAGCTCTCAAGAACTATCTGTTACATTGGAGACCTTGGTTTCCCCAGCTTTGAGATGGGGATGATGCCAACCTCATAGGCTGGTTGTGCAGGTCTGTGAGTTGGCACAGAGCCAAGTGAGTTGCCAAGTTCATCAGTTAATTGAAGAGTTTGTCTTCATTGAGGAGGCTGGTGTTCGATGAAGAGTTGACTTCATTATCCTGGTTTAGCCATCTGCCGGTTATCGGTCCTTTGGCAACGTACTTCTACCCTCAGTTATCCCCTTTAGAAAGAGAAGACATTTTTTAAAAAGTTTGAATTATTTATATAAAATTGCTTATTAAATTTTTCAAAGCCTCTTATCTCTCCCCTCTCCTCAACACTCTTGTTCTTGTTCTTGTGGTTAGTCATGTCCAATTCTTTGCAACCCCATGGACTGCAGCCCACCAGGCTCCTCTGTCCAGGGGATTCTCCAGGACAGAATACTGCAGTGGGTAGCCATTCCCTTCTCCAGCGGATCTTCCCAACCCAGGGACTGAACCCAGATCTCCTGCACTGAAGGCAGATTCTTTACCATCTGTGCCACCAGGGAAGCTCACCCCTGAGTTATTGATGGAAATGGCAGCTCCCTTCCTCAGGTCACTCATTTTTGAGTCGGCAAGGCTGACGGCTCTTTGTGGCTTCTGTGCTGCCCAGCTCTGCTTCTCCTCCAGGGAAGAAGGCTTCTGACCGGGACCTTCTCCTCCATCCACCAAAACCTTTCCTGATCGCCTTTCCCAACCCTTTCACCCATAGCAGATGTTACCTCTTCCCCCTTCTGAGAGTCTCACCGAGAACTGAGAGTGACCGTTCACAGAGCTTGCCATGTGTGATCTCAGGACAAGGGAACCTACCTCTGTATAGTGCCGTGGTGGAGGCTAGTGTTTAACTGATACAACGGGATACTGAGGTTTGGAAGCCTAGAGGATTACTTGAGGACCAACAGCTGAAAAGGAGGCACTTCATCAGGATTCCAATTGTCTACCCAATCAATAAGGCCCAAGTGCCGGCCAGCTCGTGGTCAGCCCACCTGACCCTTAATATCAACCACCTTGATTCTTTCTGTGTGTCCTCTGTCCTGGATTTCCAGTTAACTGATACATCTTTGAGGGCAAAGGTGATGCCTCTGATGAGCTTTGAGTAGGGTTTTTAGAGGAGTAAATATAATGTCTGCTTCAAAGGCATGCATAAAACACACACTGTCATACTGAAAGTCATCTTCTGGGAAGGTCTTTCATCAGTAATGCACTCTTGCTTATAAGTCAGCTTCCTTTGTCTTCAGACACTGCAGCACCTTCTTTGGGGTACCTTGGTTGGAGAACATCTTAGTCTTTGGAAGGTCTGAGTTTTACAGTACTTGACGCTTGTTCTTCTTATCCTGATTAACTTTTTTTAGAAGTTTTTTTGACATGGACCACTTTTAAAGTCTTTATGAATTTGTTACAATATTGCTTCTGTTGTTTATGTTTTGTTTTTTTGGCCACAAAACATGTGAGCTTTTAGTTCCCTGACCATGGATTGAACAGCCCCCGTATTGGAAGGTGAAGTCTGAACCACTGGACCACCAGGGAAATCCCCAAGGCTTACTTAACTTTGCTGAGTGTTAACAAGTCCTTTTTCTTCTTTGGACCTCAGTTTTCCCATCTGCATAATGAGCACAAGGAATGAGATCAAAGGGCTATTCAGATTCTAGGAATCTCTGCTCAACTCAGGCGCAATGCCTCTGAGATTTACAGTAACTGCCACTATTTAGTGGGTGCATAGTATGTGTCAAGTATTGCACTTGGTGGACTGATTGTGCTCTTTTGTGTCTTTACACTGGTCTGCAAATAGGCACTGATACTGCCGTTTCATAGCTGAGGAAGCCCAGGCTCAGAATGTAGGAAGAAATTGCTTGAGGTCCCGTGTTAAGTACAGGCTGGTACCTAGGACAGGCTTTCTCAGGGCTGAGTGAGCTGCCCCTTCGGTGGCTTTTCCGGATGCCCTGGTCCAGAGACTGGAGGATTACTAGGAAGCAAGGGAACGTGGTAGGCACAATGCTACTAGAAACCCTAGACTCCATCAGGCCCCCTGCCCGCCCTACAGACAAGCCCCTGCGGCTGCCCCTGCCTCACAGCTTGTGAGATCTTCCCAGACCGGGGATTGAACCCATGTCCCCTGTATTGGCAGGTGGATTCTTAACCATTGGACCACCAGGAAAGTCCCGGAACCCCTTTCTTGGTGCAATGTCTAGAACATTCTTTCTTATGCATGGACTATGACTAGGCCTACCTTGCAGTGATCTTGGGATTTACTAAATGAGGTGATGTATCAAACAGCTGGCCTGGGGCCACCTAACAAGTTAAATAGCTGCAATTATTATAATTCATTTTTCTCAAAGGTGAGGAGAAGTAGTACACATAATACTATCTATCACTAATAGATACCATTTATCCTCAGCTTTGCCACATCCCGGGTAAGAAAGTTGGGGGTTCTTGGACTCCCTGCTGTGAAAGTTAAGCTGGAATGAATGAGATTTGCTTTGCACAGAACTTGGTGCACCCCATAAACATTCACTATAACGTACCATGTGTCCAAGGCAGCTGACCCCTTAGCTGGCGAGAGCCACCTCCTTTGAAGGATGCTTGGCTACTGCCCTCCTTATCTGCCATTCCACCCACCTCCTTCTCCCTGGTTCCAGGTGATCATCCTTAGCCACCCTGGCAGCATTGCAGCTTGCTACTCATCCATTCTGGTCTGCCACACCACCTGCAAGTTTGCAGAGCAGAGAGAGAAGCTTGACTGGTGCTTGGGCATGAAACCAGAGGACAAGCCCAAAGCCCTGAAGTCTAGGGAAGCAGGCATCATCCAGATGGTTCTGAGCAAGCCCATGTATGTGGGACGCTTCCCTGAGCGCCCACCCCTGGATAAGCTCCAGCAGCAACTGACTACCCAGACTGCCCCCTCCTCCTCCTCGCTCCAGGGAGCTGGTTGGCCAACATGTCACAACTGAGCCAGCAAGCAGACACTGGTCAGAGGATCTGTGTGCCAGGTTAAAAGGGCCCAGAAAGCAAAAGCAGCCTGCCTAGTGTCACACAGGGAGGCAGAGGCCACTTTAGAGCCTTGCTAACTCCAAGCGAGGTCCGTGCACCAGCAGCGTGAGAATCCCCCGAGACTTGGTTAGACATGCAGAATCTCAGGCTCCATCCAGACTTGCTGAATTCAAATCTTCATTTTAACAAGATTCCCAGGCAACTGGGGTGCACATCAAGGTCTGAGAAGCACTGACCCGGAGGAGGCGGACCATAAAGAGATGACTAGGGACTTTTTCCCCTTCCCCGACTCTCTGATGCAGTGGTTTTCAAACCTAGTGTATCACCAGAACCACTGATGGAGCCTATTAAACCCAGAGGCTCAGGTTCTCCAGCTGCTTAGATCCCCCAGGTATCTTATGCATGGCTGGGCTTGAACCTCTAGAACTTTCTGGACTCAAACCATAGTGAGCAGGCAATTCGTGCTCTGTGCTAGGCTCCGTGCCAACTGTTAGATATTTACAAATAAACAAGCCCCTGCCCTCAGGGTCTCCCAGTCATCAGAGAAAGGAGTGATCTTCAAATGGCTATTTTTTTTCTTACGGGTTTCTTTTTAACTTTTTATTTTATATTGGAGTCTAGCTGATTAACAATGTGATAGTTTCTATCGTGATTATATAATGATTACTCACTTAATATCATTCTATCATGATTGGTCAACA